CAGTGGCTCACTGCCGTAGTGGCTCACTGTCAGTAGTGGTTCACCGTCAGTAGTGGCTCACTGTCAGTAGTGGTTCACTGCCGTAGTGGCTCACTGCCGTAGTGGCTCACTGCCGTAGTGGTTCACTGTCAGCAGTGGCTCAAATGGCCCAGTGGCCACGTCAGCAGTGGCTCACCGTCAGTAGTGGCTCACTGTCAGTAGTGGTCTACCGTCAGTAGTGGCTCACTGTCAGTAGTGGTTCACCGCCTGCAGTGGCTCACTGCCTGCAGTGGCTCACCGTCAGTAGTGGCTCTCTACTGTCAGTAGTGGTTCACCGTCAGTAGTGGCTCACGTCAGTAGTGGCTCACCGTCAGTAGTGGTTCATCATTGCAGTGGCCTTCACTGTCAGTAGTGGCTCACTATGTCAGTAGTGGTGGTTCACCGCCGCAGTGGTCATCATCAGTAGTGGTTCACCGTCAGTGGCTCACTGGTCAGTGGTGGTTCACCGTCAGTAGTGGTCACTGTCAGTAGTGCTCACCGTCAGTAGTGGTTCATCAGTCAGTAGTGGCTCACCGTCAGTAGTGGCTCACTGTCAGTAGTGGTTCACTGCCGTGGTGGTTCACTGTCAGTAGTGGCTCACTGTCAGTAGTGGTTCACCGTCAGTAGTGACCACCGTCAGTAGTGGTTCATAGTCAGTAGTGGTTCACCGTCAGTAGTGACTCACCGTCAGTAGTGACTCACCGCTCAGTAGTGGTCTTCAATGTCAGCAGTGGTTCACCGTCAGTAGTGGTTCACCGCAGTGGTTCACCGTCAGTAGTGGCCTCACTGTCAGTAGTGGTTCACCGCCGCAGTGGTTCACGTCAGTAGTGGTTCACCGGCAGTAGTGGTTCACTGTCAGTAGTGGTTCACCGTCAGTAGGTTCACTGGTCAGTAGGTTCACCGTCAGTAGTGGTCACTGTCAGTAGTGGCTCACCGTCAGTAGTGCTCACTGTCGCAGTGGTTCACCGTCAGTAGTGTCTACTGTCGTAGACTACCGTCAGTAGTGACTCACTGTCAGTAGTGGCTCACTGTCGCAGTGACTCACCGCCGCAGGACTCACTGTCAGTAGTGACTCACCGTCAGTAGTGGTTCACTGTCAGTAGTGGTTCACCGTCAGTAGTGTGTCTACTGTCAGTAGTGACTCACTGTCAGTAGTGGTTCACCGTCAGTAGTGGCTCACTGCTGCAGTGGCTCACCGTCAGTAGTGGCTCACTGTCAGTAGTGGCCTCACCCTCAGTAGTGGTTCATAGTCAGTGCTCACCGTCAGTAGTGGTTCACAGTCAGTAGTGGCTCACCGTCAGTAGTGGCTCACTGACAGTAGTGGCTCACCATCAGTAGTGGCTCACCGTCAGTAGTGGCTCACCGGCTCACCGTCAGTAGTGGTTCACCGTCAGTAGTAGTTCACCGTCAGTAGTGGCTCACCGTCGTAGTGGCTCACAGTCAGTAGTGGTTCACCGTCAGTAGTGGCTTACTGTCAGTAGTGGCTCACCGACAGTAGTGGCTCACCATCAGTAGTGGCTCACCGTCAGTAGTGGCTCACCGGCTCACCGTCAGTAGTGGTTCACCGTCAGTAGTAGTTCACCGTTAGTAGTGGCTCACCGTGCCGTAGTGGCTCACCGTCAGTAGTGGTTCACCGTCAGTAGTGGTGTGTAGAGGGGGGTGGATATTGTATGTGTTGGGAGGGAAGTGTCTGTGGAAGGAAGGGGGGCGCTTGTGGTAGAGCGGTACCGCTCTTGCCTCGTCAAGCAAGATGTCACGGGTTCGATTCCCGGGCAAGCGGAAGTTGTTTGGACACTCTTCCTAGCCCCTGTCCCTGTTCACCTAACAGTAAAGTAGGTACCTGTTGTAAATCGAAAGGTTGCGAATTCGTATTCAGGGAAAGTTGTTGGAGCTTCTAAACTTGAACTAACACAATCCGGAGGAGTGGTGACGAGGATCACACCCAACACAGACAAAAACTCCAATACGTGCACTTGCGCTAACCAAATAAACGCAGTCGTGTAAAGCCACGGCATCATTCTCCACTACACTTCCTTCCTAACCTCCTGCTCCTTCTTCTGTCATCTTCCCGCTCTGCCTTTCGCTACCAACAACTTTGGAGCTTCTAAACTTGAACGAGGAAGGGGAGGAGAGGTAGAGTGTGTGTGAGGGGAGGTGAGGGGTAAGGAAGATGCATTGTGTGGGGGAGAGAGGTGGGAAATGAGAGGGGGAGGGGGGCAGGAGAGGAGGAGGAGGAGGAGGAAAAGAAGTAAGTATGGAGCAGAGTGAAGAGGAAAAAAGAGGAGGAGGAGGAAACGAGTGTAAACAATGCAAAACAAAACAGAAAGAAAATGATAAAAGAAAAAGGTTGGAATAAACAAGTGAAAAATAAGAATAATTGTGTAGGAGAATTGTGAGGTAAATGGAGGAGCAAGGACGCATGACTCCATGACAAACTGCTGAGGCGTGGTCGTTCTCCGTGTTGCTGTCTCCGTGATTATCTCTGTGTATCTCCAAACGATAAGAGTCCCTCATACTTAAATATCCTCATGACTCAATACACACACACACACTAAGTGGCAGAGAGTGACAGGAGTGTGGTGGCCAAACCGTCACTCACACACGGTCAAAATAATTTACCTGTCGTCATCGTCATCACTTCCGACATAAGCTGACCATCATTCATCGTCACATACACACACACACACACACACACACACACACACACACACAGACCAGATGAAAAGATAACCTCTTCTCTTGCTATGCACACGATACCACCACAACAATAACAACAGCACTACCACCACCACAACACCACCACCGAGACGCGTTACTTTAAAGGTTACACAACTCTCATATCACCAAGGACGTCACCAACACCACCTCCACCCTTACACCCCTCCTCTGTGGTGAAGGCTGAGGACCGTGACATATGGTTAATAAGAAAGGTTAAGAGGCCTCGACTGGATCTGACACAGGAAAACACCAGGAACACTATACAGGAAACCTCATGATAGGCTATAGTGAAGTATATATAAATTTAAATATATATAAATGTGTGTGTAGTATAAATCTTTCACGTCTGGGAGATTACACACACACACACACACACACACACACACACACACACACACACACACACACACACACACACACACTATTAAAATCATTATTCATTGTTGTTATCTAGCAATTGATCTGGGACAGAGCCACACAATGACACTATTAACCTGAGAGTAAAAAAAAACACAAGGGGCTAATATTTTGGGTCTGAATAAAATGCTGCACAATGAGTAATGTGACCCAAGTAAAATAACTGGACACATATTGTAATGTTGGACAATATGTTATTACAACTATTGACCCAAGGTTATACTATGATAAAATGGTGGGGTATTGATCACACATTCATGCATACTACAATATATTACACACACACACACACACACACACTACACACACACACACACACACACTTACTACACATTTACACACACACACACACACACACTTACTACATTTACACAGACACACACACTTACTAAACATTTACACACACACACACACCTTACTACACATTTACACACTATGGACTAAACACACACACACACACACTTGCTACACATTTACACACACACACACACACACACACACACTACACATTTACACCTTGAACTAAACACACACACACACTTACTACACATTTACACACACACACTTCCTACACATTTTACACTATGACTACACACACAAACAAAATAATAATTAATACAAGCTGCTCTATAATCAATACCACCACCAATAGCAGCGGGCCTCAAACAAGCTATGAACCACCACCACCATCACCACAATACACTATATACTCAAACACCATCATTCACTATCGGCCAAGAGTCGGTCGTGTGCATGGCGGACGGGAAATTACAATTTTTACAACACAGAATCAACCACTTAAGTTACGACACCGTAAGAGGCCACACAACTAAAAATTTAACTGAGATTCTATATTAACTAACATTTACTTTCCTTCAGTTTGGGGATAAAATCACGATTTTTTTTTAATACAGTAATTTGATTTGACGGATTATTTTTTTCTCCATGATTTTAAGGTAAGTCAGTGTAATATCGACATTTTGGCACCATTCGAACCAGGATAATAGATGGTATCTCGGCCAGTCTCTAGTGAAGGCAGCAGATAGCCCATCATCAATTAAAACCCCGCATTAACAGTTCCTCGGTGCATGCATTAAATTAAATGGTTGATTTATTACCGCTCTCACTTCCCAAACCTCCACCAGGTCTGCAACATGGTGGAGGTGAGGGGCGAAGTTGTCGTGTGATGTTGGTGTTGCAGATGTGTTGTAGGTGTGTTACTGGTGCTACATATGTGTTGCAGGTATGTTGTTGGTGCTTCAGGTTAGTTATCAGGGAATACAGGTGTGTTGTCGGTGCTGCAGGTGTGTTATTGGTGTTACAGGTGTGTTTTGGTGCTACATATGTGTTGCAAGTATGTTGTCGGTAATGCAGGTGTGTTGTTGGTGCTGCAGGTGTGTTACTGGTGCTACATATGTGTTTTGGTTCTACATATGTGTTGGTAGTGGTACAGGTATGTTGTTGTTGTTGGTGCTGCAGGTGTGTTCTTGGTGTTACAGGTGTGTTTTTCGGTGCTACATATGTGTTGGTGGTATTGCAGGTGTGTTGTTAGTGAGGGCTTTAGATGTAGGAGGGAGAGGGGGGGCGTGGGTATTATCGTGTAGGAATGAGAGAGATAGCATATCCAGGTGTGTGTGTGTGTGTGTGTGTGTGTGTGTGTGTGTGTGTGTGTGTGTGTGTGTGTGCGTGTGTGTGGAAAATTCAACCACAGATTCTTCACCTCCGCCTAAGTTACAAATAAACTTTCACGGTCAAGTTAACATCAAAACAAATTAACAAATTAAACAATATTAAACATCAACCTCATGTTAGGGTCAAACAGGCCCTATGACCACCAATTAGGACATTCAATTTAACCTAAGATCTTGTGAGAATGGGTGGCTCTGGGGTGTAATGGGTGGCTCTGGGGTGGGTGTAATGGGTGGCTCTGGGGTAAGGTGTAATGGGTGGCTCTGGGGGTAAGGTGTGGGTGGCTCTGGGGTAAGGAGTGTAATGGGTGGCTCTGGGGGTAAGGTGTAGGTGGCTCTGGGGTAAGGTGTAATGGGTGGCTCTGGTGTAATGGGTGGCTCTGGGGTGTAATGGGTGGCTCTGGGGTGTAATGGGTGGCTCTGGGGTGGAATAGGTGGCTCTGGGGTGTAATGGGTGGCTCTGGGGATAGGTGTAATGGGTGGCTCTGGGGTGTGTTGGGTGACTCTGGGGTGTAATGGGTGGCTCTGGGGTGGAATAGGTGGCTCTGGGGTGGAATATGGCTCTGGGGTGTAATGGGTAGCTCTGGGGGTAAGGTGTGTGGGTGGCTCTGGGGTAAGGTGTAATGGATGGCTCTGGGGTGTATGGGTGACTCTGGGGTGGAATAGGTGGCTCTGGGTGGAATGGGTGGCTCTGGGGGTAAGGGGTAATGGGTGGCTCTGGGGTGGAAATAGGTGGCTCTGGGGTGTAATGGTGGCTCTGGGGTGGAATAGTGGCTGGGTGTAATGGGTGGCTCTGGGGTGTAATGGTGGCTCTGGGGTGTAATGGGTGGCTCTGGGGTGTAATGGGTGGCTCTGGGGTGAATAGGTGGCTCTGGGGTGTGGGTAGCTCTGGGGGTAGGTGTAATGGGTGCTCTGGGGGTAGGTGTAATGGGTGGCTCTGGGGTGTAATGGGTGACTCTGGGGTGGAATAGGTGGCTCTGGGTGGAATGGGTGGCTCTGGGGGTAAGGGGTAATGGGTGGCTCTGGGGTGGAATAGGTGGCTCTGGGGTGTAATGGGTGGCTCTGGGGTGGAATAGGTGGCTCTGGGGTGTAATGTGGCTCTGGGGTGTGGTTGGCTCTGGGGTGTAATGGGTGGCTCTGGGGTGTAATGGGTGGCTCTGGGGTGGAATAGGTGGCTCTGGGGTGTAATGGGTAGCTCTGGGGGTAAGGTGTAATGGGTAGCTCTGGGGTAAGTGTAATGGGTGGCTCTGGGGTGTAATGGGGTGACTCTGGGGTGGAGACAGGTGGCTCTGGGGTGAATGGGTGGCTCTGGGGTAAGGTGTAATGGGTGGCTCTGGGGTGAATAGGTGGCTCTGGGGTGTAATGGGTGGCTCTGGGGTGGAATAGGTGGCTCTGGGGTGTGTGGGTGGCTCTGGGGGTAAGGAGTAATGGGTGGCTCTGGGGTGGAATAGGTGGCTCTGGGGTGTAATGGGGTGGCTCTGGGGTAAGGTGTAATGGGTGGCTCTGGGGGTAGGTGTAATGGGTGGCTCTGGGGTGTAATGGGTGACTCTGGGGTGTAATGGGTGGCTCTGGGGTTAATGGGTGGCTCTGGGGTGTGGGTGGCTCTGGGGGTAAGGTGTAATGGGTGGCTCTGGGGGTAGGTGTATGGGTGGCTCTGGGGTGGAATAGGTGACTCTGGGGTGTAATGGGTGGCTCTGGGGTGTAATGGGCTCTGGGGTGAATGGGTGGCTCTGGGGTGTAATGGGTGGCTCTGGGGTGTAATGGGTGGCTCTGGGGGTATGGGTGGCTCTGGGGTGTAATGGGTGGCTCTGGGGTGTATGGTGGCTCTGGGGGTAAGGTGTGTGGTGCTCTGGTGTGTAATGGGTCGCTCTAAGGCGTAATGGGTGGCTCTGGGGTGTAATGGGTGGCTCTAGGGTGTAATGGGTGGCTCTAGGGTAAGGTGTAATGGGTGGCTCTGGGGGTGAAGTGTAATGGGTGGCTCTGGGGATGAGGTGTGTGGGTGGCTCTGGGGGTGAGGTGCAATGGGTGGCTCTGGGGGTGAGGTGTTTTGGGTGGCTCTGGGGTGTGGTGTATCGTGGCTTTGGGGGCAGGTGTGGGGAAGAATGGGTGGGCGGCTTCAAGGTGGAGAACATAAGGGGTCACTGTATCTGTCAGGTCTAATGAAGCACGGCTCTGGGGGGGAAAGGGGGAGGGAGAAGGGGGGGAGGGAAAAGGGAGGGGATAGGATGGAGGAAGAAGAGGAGGGTGAGGGTGGAGAGAGGGAAGAGGGTAGGAGGAGGGTATGATGGGGGAGGAGGAAAGACAGGTAATTCAGGTGGGATGGGAAAGGAGGTGGAATAGGTGGGTGGTGGTTACAGTTATGGGAAGGAGAGAGAGAGAGAGAGAATAGTTGTAATGGGTTGATGGACAAGTGAGAGGGAGGAGGAAAATGGGTGAGGATGAGGAAATACATGTGGATTGGGAGGAATGGGGGTGGGGAGGAATGGGTGAGGGAGGAATGGGGATGGGAGGAATGGGGGTGGGGGAATGGGGGTGGGGAGGAATGGGAGGATGGGGAGGAATGGGGTGGGGAGGAATGGGAGGTGGGGAGGAATGGAAGGATGGGGAGGAATGGGAGGATGGAGAGGAATGGGGGATGGGGAGGAATGAAATTGGGGGAGGAATGGGAGGATGGAGAGGGTGGGTGGAGAGGAATGGGGGATGGAGAGGAATGGGGGATGGGGAGGAATGGGGGGTGGGGAGGAATGGGAGGATGGAGAGGAATGGGGGATGGGGAGGAATGGGGGTGGGGAGGAATGGGATGATGGAGAAGAATGGGGTGGGGAGGAATGGGAGGATGGAGAGGAATGGGGATGGAGAGGAATGGGGGGTGGGGAGGAATGGGGGTGGGGAGGAATGGGGGTGGAGAGGAATGGGGGTGAGAGGAAAGGGATGGAGAGGAAAGGGGGGTGGAGAGGAATGGGGGTGGGGAGGAATGGGGTGAGGGAGGAATGGGGGTGGAGAGGAATGGGGGGGTGAGAGGGATGGAGAGGAAAGGGGTGGAGAGGAATGGGGGTGGGGAGGAATGGGGGTGGAGGAGAGGAATGGGGGTGGGGAGGAATGGGGTGGAGAGGATGGGAAGGGGAGGAATGGGGGTGGGGAGGAATGGGGGTGGGAGGAGGGGGGATGGAGAGGAATGGGGGGTGGGGAGGAATGGGGTGGGGAGGAATGGGGGATGGAGAGGAATGGGGGATGGAGAGGAAGGGGTGGAGGGGAATGGGGGGAGGAATGTGGGGTGGGAGGAATGGGGGTGGAGAGGAATAGATGGAGAGGAAAGGGGCTGGGAAAGGAATGGGGGTGGGGAGGAATGAGGGGTGGGGAGGAATGGGGATGGAGAGGAATGGAGGATGGAGAAAGGGGGTGGAGAGGAATGGGGGGTGGGGAGGAATGGGGGGATGGGGAGGAATGGGGAGGCAGGATGTAGCCCCACGCCGTCATTTGCCGCTCACTGACCCTGACCATCCCACCACTGTTCACCTAGGTATGGCAACACTTACCTGGCCATGCGCGTGCTGACTGCCTGGCCATGTGCTGCCTGGCCATGCGCGCTGGATTATTGTACCCCGGCCATATATGTTAAAGTGCCTTCTGGCCACTTGCTCCATTGCCTTGTGGGGGCTGTTTACCTGGCCACCTGCTAACTGGCCTTGTGGGGGCTGTTTACCTGGCCTGCTAACTGGCCTTGTGGATGCTGTTTACCTGGCTTGCTAACTGGCCTTGTGGATGCCATTTACCTGACCACGTGTTACCTGGCCTTGGATGCTGTATACCTGGCCATGTGTTACCTGGCCTCTAATCAACCTCACCAGAGCACGAGATGACAACAAGCACCAAAATCCTTCACCACACACCAACATTTTTAAGACTCCAATAAATTTTTTTTCTTGTTGTCCAATACCAGATTTAAGATTTCAAGTACAGGTACAGTAAGGTACGATGCTTCCTACTGTAACTTGATATAGTATTTCAAGTCGAGGTACAGTAAGACATGAAGCTTAGTAATGTAACTTGCTGTACCCTTCTATGATCCTCGGTAGAGAGAATCCGCCTCACTTAAGACAGCGAGCGACAACACCTGGAAGCACGGGGTCCTGGGAAGGCTCTGTCATCTTAACACACACACACACACACACACACACACACACACACACACACACACACACACACACACACACACACACACACACACACACACACGAAATAAAATGAGAAGAGATCAGTACAATAATAAAGGATCCCACCTGAGTACAGACAGACACAGACATGCCATAATAAATATCTGTCAATATGGATGATAACCCCGGCGAGAAACAGGTGCGCCGGGTGTAGCCAGATGACACCCACCTAAACATCTCAATTTGGGTCAACATTTCTCTTATTAGTTCTTCTTCTTCTTCTTCTTCTTCTTCATAATAATAATAATAATAATAATAATAATAACAAACTAAGAAGAAGAGAAAAAGACGAAGAAATAATGATAATAACAAATTAAAATAATAATAACAACAAAATAACAACAACAACACTACTACTATTTCTTGACCACCTAAATCCTGTGGTTACATAATCAGACGTGGCCACCATGGCAGCTCAAGGTCTGACCCCACGAGCCTCTTAAGTATTTACTGGTTAACTTAACTCACTGGACATAACATTATTGACTATCACAACACGACACTTGGGGCTGTGGTGCCTTGAGACGTGACCTTGCCTCCAGACGTGACCTTCCCTCCAGACGTGACCTTCCCTCCAGACGTGACCTTCCCTCCAGACGTCACCTTCCTCCAGACGTGACCTTCCTCCAGACGTCACCTTCCCTCCAGACGTGACCTTCCCTCCAGACGTGACCTCCTCCAGACTCTGACCTTCCCCCAGACGACCTTCCCTCCAGACGACCTTCCCTCCAGACGTGACCTTCCGTCCAGACGTGACCTTCCGTCCAGACGTGACCTTGCCTCCAGACGTGACCTTGCTCAGACGACCTTCCCTCCAGACGTGACCTTCTCCAGACTCTGACCTTGCCTCCAGACGACCTTCAGACGTGACCTTCTCCAGACGTGACCTTGCCTCCAGACTTGACCTTCCTCCAGACGCGACCTTCCTCCAGACGCGACCTTGCCTCCAGACGTGACCTTCCCTCCAGACGTGACCTTCCCTCCAGACGTACCTTCCTCCAGACTTGACCTTGCCTCCAGACGTGACCTTCCACTGTTATAATATTTTGCCACCACAGTAGCTTCTCTCACTTAAAACCATTACATGTATACACCAGTACATGTATACACCATTACATGTATACACCAATACATGTACACACCATTACATGTACACACCATTCCATGTGCACACCATTACATGTACACACCATTACATGTACACACCATTCCATGTACACACCATTACATGTACACACCACTACATGTACACACCATTCCATGTACACACCATTCCATGTACACACCATTACATCTACACACCATTACATGTACACACCATTACATGTACACACCATTCTATGTACACACCATTACATGTACACACCATTACATGTACACAGTGATGTAATAAAGTAATAATTTGCTCGAGATTTACATAATTTAAGTCGATGTTTCTATGAGGTAAAGAACATAGTCGTGTTGTTAATGTGGAGGCTGAGTGGAAACAGCTCTCTCGTCCCGTCCTAGAGGTTGTTGGTTCGAGCCCCGAGGTTAGCCCCCCCCCCCTCCCCTTAGTCGACCCAGCTGTGAATGACCGCCTGGCTCGGTAGTCCGTGTTGTTGTATTCGTGAAAAAAAAACTATACGGGAACCACGAAGGAAAAAAATATTAATTACAGACAACAGACTTACAGGAATTATGAAACAATTACGAAATACAGAGACATGAGAGAGAGAGAGAGAGAGAGAGAGAGAGAGAGAGAGAGAGAGAGAGAGAGAGAGAGAGAGAGAGAGAGAGAGAGAGAGACCTACAGTAAGCCCGAACACTTACCTCCCTCCCTCCCTCATCAGGTAAGTTCCTTCACCAGGCAACTTCCAACGAGGAGGATATTACATCACTAATACTGTGCGCACCAAGTGGAGGTCAGGGCGTCACCAAACACCCTTATGTTAGTGACCTGGCGTGGATAAGAGACCCCGAGTCATGTAATTCACTGAAAAATGTTCTGTTGACGACGGGTGAAAATTAATAAACTGGGAACAGGATGAAGAAAACTGAAAAGTGTAAAAAAAATAAATATGAAAGTAGTTCCTTCGTTACAGACATAAACAAGAATATCATAACAGTATGTCTAAGTATGAAAAAGTAACAAATTCATTAAAAACTAAAAGTATAATAAATAACAAGTCAGAGTATAATAATTTGGCTCTCTACGTCTATCAAAATACAGGGTGTCCATAAATGATTACCCTGATGACAACATACTGATTTTAGGGTAATCATTTATGGACACCCTGTATATCACTGACGTAAACCTTCACAGGGACAGGTCAGTTAGTTACACAGATACTCGTGGATAAAAATTACAGAAGATATACAAATTTCCCCCAGAGTTCGCCCGAGTCTACCGTCTGAGAGAAGAGTAAATGTGGGCGTAACAATAACTGTAGTGCTCATTACCCTGTGCAGTATATCTTACCGAGGGGAAAATGGGGAATTTTCTTCACCCAAAACTTGAGTCGCTGATTAAAACAGGAGTTTATATTAATGCTGATCAAGAGGCTCGTGTGTGTGTGTGTGTGTGCATAACCTGTGGTGTAATATGGTCAGCATGCTCGCCTCGCTGGCGAGCGGACCCGGGTTCGATCCCCGGGCAGGGTGAAACTATGGGCAAGTTTCTTTACGCCATTTGTCTCTGTCTACCCAGCAGTAATTGGGGACCTGGATGTTAATCGATTTGCGGATCGTGTTCCGGGGTAATGGTTAGCCAGTGCAGTTGGCGAGTTGTCCGGTCTTCTTGGACTATTCCTTGACACTGGGTCACTCAACTCGTTAACTCAGGGTGTGGTTGTTGAGTTGGCGACAGCTTCTACACCTTAAAAACATTTATGCCTAGGTGGCCCTTGGGCAGGCCATCCTCGTTACACGAGGGGCAACCATTATATACATAACGTTGAGTCCATAAGCAAAATGGGTTTCACCTCAGACTTAAAAAACTAGGCCTAAGAACAGGTAAAAATAGATTGCATATGCAGTGACTAACCAAGGCTGCGGCCGACCAGTTGTAAGAGTTTGGCCAATATCAGACAAAAACTGAGGCAGTGAAAGCAGAAAGACCGACACATAGATAGACAGATAGATAGATAGACAGATAGATAGACAGACAGACAGACAGACAGACAGACAGACAGACAGACAGACAGACAGACAGACAGACAGACAGACAAAGACACCGAGCGATCAATGTACAGTAGAGTCTTGGTTAATGTTCAACAAGGCCAAGTAATGTGTTTACTGACTACACAATAACAGATGAAACAACCAACATGAAGTGAACTCTGGTGAAGGAGGAGGAAATGGTCACAAAGGCGAACACCATGACTGTTGAGACCTGATGAATAAGATCCCGGCAGAATGTATACACAGATGTTGTAAAGATGAAACACGAGTTGACCTCTTTGATCCAGAGTCAAATACCCATGGCCCTGTGTGGCACCATCCCGGCACTTCATCATCAAAGAGGTTCAGACACTGCCTCAACACGTCTCATGGTAATCATAATAAGAATTTCTCCCGTGCGGTAAACAACACCAGCAAGAGTAGTTACATTAATGACGCGAGTTCTCCTGACACAAGGAAACCAGCCAGACTAAACGGTGCGGAAAACTGTTGCAAGGGATGAACAGCTGTGACGCCCCTCCTGCACGACAATGTTGCAACACACACACACACACACACACACCACTATCCACTATTGAACAGTCTCCAAAACTGGGCCACCAACAACCATGTCACCATCAACCATACCAAGACCATGTTTATGCACATCAACCTCTCCTCCGACATTGTCCCACCTCCTTCCATTACTCTAGGTCCGAACACACTCCAGGTTGTAGATTCCACGAAGCTCCTCGGCGTCACCATAGACAACAAACTAAATTGGAAACCACACGTCAGAGAAGTTGTCAAATCCTCCAGTTTCCGTCTCCACCTCCTCCGCCGACTCGAGTCCCTCGGAGTTCCTGCACCCGAGCTCCTCAGTGTTTACACAACATTCATACTTCCCAAGCTCACCTATGCCTCCCCCACCTGGTCTTCCAACCTAAATGCCACACAACGTAAACACCTAGAAAAAGTGCAAAAGAGGGCATGCAAGATTATTCTCTCCCCTTCCTACTCCACATATCAGGAAGCGCTCAACACACTGACCCTTTCGACTCTCACTGACCATCACCACGACCTCATCTGCAAATTTGGTAAGAAGCTTCTACACCATCCTCGACACCGGCTCCTACTACCACCTGAGATCCCTCGCCCGAGAATTGCTGTTCGACACCACAACAGCATC